ATCAGGATAAATTATCTGAGAAAGGACAAGGTCCCCAGAGAACTCTTGCCAGGCCTATGGATCACAGTCATCAAGAAGCACAAACACTCTGGCAGGAAAGAGGACAGACGCAGATGGAAATCAATATACCCTGTTCTAACACTTCAGCCCGTTCTTTGGGTCCAAGACTCTTGGCAACATCCAGTAACTCTATTCCATAGGCCTCCGCCATCTCCTGCTCCCCTTCTGATCTGGGCTTTCCTATCCCTCTTGCATTGTGCTGGGTAGGTGAGACAGAGCCAAGGGCTTTGACACATATTTCATAACACTCTTGCAGCAGAAACAAAACAGAGCACAACACTAAGAAAACCTTCTGTCTGCTGAGATCTAGAATTTACAAAGCACGTTTTTTTTTTTTTTTTTTTTTTGGAGACGGAGTCTCACTCTGTTGCCCAGGCTGGAGTGCAGTGGCACAATCTCGGCTCACTGCAACCTCTGCCTCCCAGGTTCAAGCAATTCTGTCTCAGCCTCCCGAGTGCTTTTTTTTGAGATGGAGTTTCCCTTTTTTAGCCCAGGCTGGAGTGCAATGGGGCGATCTCGGCTCACTGCAACCTCCACCTCCTGGATTTAAGTGATCCTCCTGCCTCAGCCTCCTGAGTAGCTCGGATTACAGGCGTCTGCCACAATGCTTGGCTAATTTTATATTTTTTCTTAGTAGAGATGGGGTTTCACCACGTTGGCCAGGCTGGTCTTGAACTCCTGACCTCAGGTGATCCGCCCGCCTCGGCCTCCCAAAGTGCTGGGATTACAGACATGAACCACTACGCCCGGCCTACAAAGTACTTTTACATCCAGTCCCTCTTGATTGGGCCTAATTGTGAAAGGATCCAGAGGTACCTATCCATGAAAGACAGGTTCCCTAGTTAACAGAGTCCAGAAAGGCCCAAGCAGAACCAACGAGCTGAAAGTGGGTCAGAGATGTGGTTAGGAACCCATGACACACGTCCCAATACGCAGCCCTATGCTACAGCAAAGAGCAGACTGAGCTCATGGCGCCAGCTAAACACCATCTGGGCAAGGGACCCAAGATGAAAACAGAGGACTTCTGTTGTTAGTAAATGGGAGACTAGGTAAATTGTACCAACTCTTGCACTAGGAGCCAAAACATTTGAAAAGCATCAAAGAGCTAACAAGATACTAAAGAATTACTAGGCTAACATCCCAGAGAGGACACGAATCCAGACAGGTGAGCCCAGCATTTGGGCCACTTGGGCCTGGAGGCAACTGCCCATTTAGCAGAGGCAATGGAGAGAATGGGTTGTGTTTCTGAAAGTTTTGTAGGGCTGGGCAGGGGGAGCTGGAGTACGGGGCCTACCAAAGGTGGAATACTGGTAAACCACTGCCTGTTTTGAGGTGTGACCTGAGAGGATTATACCCTAGGGTTAAGGATAAATCAGAAGCAAACCAGCCCTTGCATAGTCTGACAGGTCTGTGGCTTGGTTTCAGTGGCTTAGAAAATCTCCAACCTTGAATCTGGATTACTGTGACCCCAGAATTCTAGTGCTCCTGGGTACTTGACAGAAGCAAATAAAATTCCTCTCTAGAGGCAGAAATTGTCCTAGGCTTCAAAATATTTTAATGAACAGGTTTTCAAATACAATGTCCAGCACAAAGTAAAAAATGAGGCACACGTGAACACACATCGGGTGAACCAGCAGAAATTAGGTGACAGGAACACACAAGGATTCCAGTTATTGGAATGATCACAGAGTGAACACAGGCAAAATGTTCAAGAAAACTCCAATTGCTGGTAAGTCTGGCTATTTGAAATCTTCACTCTCTAATCCGTCCCCATACTACAATCCCCATCCTCAATCTGCCTTACCCACTGTCTCCAGAGTTGTCTTTAAACAAAACAAATCTGACTATCCCTCAGCTCTGTGCTTAAATGGCATTCAGGGCTGTTTGTAATCTGTCCTAAATTGCCCTTTTCAGCTTCATCATACAATCTCTTCATATAGACTACTTTCCTGAGTATTCCACCTTTGCCTTCAATGTCCTCGTCTCCTATTTTATCCTGAAAAATGCCTCCTTATCCTTCAAAGTCCAATTTAAACCTCCTGTCTTTGAAGCCTTTCTGAAATATATATACTGTCTCTTATACACATCTAGATGTGTATAAGAGACAGGACGGGGTTTCACCATGTTGGCCAGGATGGTCTCGATCTCTTGACCTTGTGATCCACCCACCTCGGCCTCCCAAAGTGCTGGGATTACAGTGGGCGAGAGCTACTGCGCCCAGCCAGAGTATTCTTAATAATAGGTGATACAGACTGTTACAGGCTGAACTGTGTTCCCCCAAAATCCATACGTTGAAGCCCCAATTTCCACTGTGACTATATTTGGAGACAGGGCTTTTAATGGGCTAAGATTAAAAAGCTGATAAAGGAGGGGCCCTAATCCAATAGGATTGGTGTCCTTGTAAGAACAGGAACTGACATCAAAGATCTTTCTCTTTCCACATGCATACAGAGAAAAAGCCGTGTGAGGATGCAATGAGAAGGCAGCTATTTGCAAGCCAGGAAGAGAGGCTTCATCAGAAACCAACCCTCTTGGGTTGATCTTGAACTTCCAGCCTCCAGAACCATGAGAAAATAAATTTGTGCTGTTTAAGCCACCCAGTCTGTGGTATTTTGTCATGATAGCCTAAGCAGACAAACACACAGAACATTTCTGATATTTCAAACATGTTTAAATATACATCTTTGCCAGCCTGGCCAACATGGTGAAACCCT